TCTCAGTGCGGGGCACCCCGGGCGGGTCGGTTCTATTACCTCCTCCGCTCTCACCCACCGGGTGCAAGACTCAGAAAGGACATAGCGAACGCCTCTGGGGCCTGATGTGAAAGAGTGAATCATTGGTAGGACTGTTGAGAGCGAAATACATGGAAAGAGGCACCGTCGGCCGTCATCTCTGAGCGGGCTCTAGTTCCGACTCTAGTCTCAAAGGAAGGGGCTGAAGACCTAGTTGCTATGCGACGCTCACGCTGTCCTTTTTTTTTTTTTTTTCTAACAGGTTTTCAGTGAAGTTCTTTCTGAAGCAGGCAGATAGGGGTGATTTGGCAACGCTTTAAGGTTGCCGTCAACTCGGAAGGCTTTGCAGCTGTTTCGTTTTTCCACGCCCCACCCCCAACCACCGGAAGTCAAACTCCAAGCCGAGTGGAGGTTGCCAGGCAACACTTGATAGTTGTCTTCTGGGAGCCGGGCCAGACGCTGGCCTAGAACCTAAGTACATTCCAGGTGAATTAAAAATGTAAATGCAACAAGTGAAACCATAAAAAGTATCTGAAGGAATAAAGAAACACACTACAGAATCCTGAAGACTTGGGGAGAGTGTCTTTACCATTACAGCAAAGCCAGAAAACGTAAAATACTGATTTGTTCGCAAAAGACTCCCTAAAACAAGTTGGAAAAAAAAAATACGACCAACTGGGAAAGTCCGTGTCACGTGTTGACAGAAATGTACTACATAAATACATCTTACCAATAAATAAAAACTTAGGAAAATAGAAATACTTTTATTTTTTCATGGGAAGGATCATAAGCAGGCTTTTCTCACACAAAGTAAAACAGCAAATAAAAAAATTGTTCATGTAAAAAGTGCTAATGGAAAGTGCAATGATAGAGCATTATTTTACTTTGTCACGTTAATTCACCCTGGGAAGAGTAATGTCCATGGGGTTGGTGTAACCAGAGGGTTCAGACAGGGCCCAGTGCAGGTGTCAATCAGGTCAACTTGTTCCAATGCAGATTGTAAATATTTGTTAAAATGGTGCCTGTCCTTTGCACGTCGCCGGATCGCTGTTTTGTCACATTTATGTCAGCCATTCCTTCTTTTATATTTTCTTTCCTGAAGCCTTTTAAGTCCTCAACATCATATTTTACCTCTACATGCTTAACTGCCATCTCTAAGAGCTGTATTTTTTTTAACATGACCACTTTGTCATTATCAGACCCTAACAATATTATTTTAGTTTCATCTAATTTCCTCAATTACCTCAAAATATATTTTTTAAAATTGCTGTATTTGCATCAAGATCCAAACAAAGACTAAACGCATAGACATTACATCTCAATTTTCATCTAAATTGGGCTCCTCCTTTTTATGTCAGTGTGATTCAATTTTTAATAAAATTACAAGAAAGATTTTTTTAAAAATATATTTCATTGATTTTTTACAGAGAGGAAGGGAGAGAGATAGAGAGTTAGAAACATCGATGAGCTTCAAGCATCCTACCCTCCCCCCAAAAGACAGCGAACCAGAAATTAATTTTAAAGAGAGAGGTTGGAGTAGAATTGTCTGCCGGAGGTAAGAGGCTACACTGGAGTTGCCAAGAGCCTGAAGGCAGCTGTGAATTGGAAAACTTAAGGTTGGTTCTCCCACCCTAGCTGGTTTGGCTCAGTGGATAGAGTGTCGGCTTGCAGACTGAATGGTCCGGGGTTCAATTTCGGACAAGGGCACATGCCCGGGTTTCGGCTCAATCCCCAGTAGGGGGTGTACAGGAGGCAGCTGACCAAAGATTCTCATCATTGATGTTCCTATCTTCCTCTCCCTTCCTTTCTGAAATCAATAAAAATATATTATTTAAAAAAAAATTGGTTCTCTCACGAAGCAAGGGCCTGCTTCCAGGGCAGCTGAATTCGTTCCAGATTAGTAATACTCCCGACAATCTGCACAAATAGAAGCAAAGGCTCAGGACTCAGGGCAGCATTAGCCCAGTGATCATATTTGTGAAAACGTGTTATTTTGTTAAACTGTCAACTTTCTACTTTGGAGAAAGGATTTGGGGAGGAGCGTTTGCACTTTCTGCACGACACACTGTCCTATAAATTCATCACAGACATATGCTTGTGATTCTGTGAAGGGATTTCATCTCCCTTTTTCTCCTAACAAAAACAACCATCCCCTTTGGTGGTTACTAGGCAACACCTGCTGGACCAAACCATCCTGGGGGGAGGGGGGGAGGAGATGGTGTTTTTCTCCATGTTGCTCTAAGGAAGGGTGCTCTAGAGATGCCTCGCGAGGCTATATTTGAGCTGTTTACAGCTTTAGGATGGAGATTAGGCTGATGGGCGGTTGCTAGGCAGCACCTTGGCACCAAGGCCACCTTTGAGCAGCGCACAGCTGTTTATCAATTTACCCACTTGGTGGTTGCTAGGCAACGCTTTGGACTGGTCACTGCCTTCAAGCTGCTAGGCTCTTCGGTATCTTCTGTAAATAAATGAAGTAAAACTGTTACCTGAGGGGTGAAAGTCCCCTTTTTGAGGACCCCAAGCTGGGTTCTTTTTCCCTTTGTGTTAGGAAGCCAGTAAGAGACTGAAAGTATTAACAGTGCAAACTTTATTCAATTAAAAAGCAAGAGCTTAGCTCTCAAATCGGCTTCTCCTAGGATCCAGGAAGGAAATATTTAGGGGGTGGGGGTGGGGGTGGTATGAATGGTTTTTCCAGATTCTGCCTTTTTTCTGTCCTTTTGTGGTTCCTTCCATCGTTGTCATGGTGACTGTCCAGAAATCTGATAAAGTCCGTTCTAAGTGACACACCTACAGTGACACCTGTAGGTGTGTCACTTAGAACGGACTTTATCAGATTTCTGGTCTCTGCAGGTCACTCTGGCCGCCACCTTCTCTTAGATGTATTTTTTCCCTGCTCAATTACAGTTTACATTCAATATTGTTTTGTATTTTTAGTTTCAAGTTTACAGCATCATGGTTAAACAATCTTACACTATACGGTGTTTCCCCCCATTGAGCTCGTTTTAACTAGTTCTTTCTTGCGAAGGAACTATTAACTGCAGGCCTGCCTGTTCTCAAAGATAAGCATAGAGTTAGGGTGGGGTAGGGGCTCAGCTAAGTTAAATAGATCTTTGGTGGGATAGCTGATTTTCCTCTTTCTTATTTTCACTCATTCTTGAGGGGTGCTGAGGGTCGAAGGTCAGCCATCCATAACTTCTTTTGGCTGAACGTGAATCCTTTCCCTTGATAATCTTCATATATATAATTTCAGAGAGGGAGAGGGTGAGACAGAATCATCAATGATGAGAGAGAATCATTGACCAGCCATCTCCTGCACGGTTCCTACTGGGGGCTAAACCCTCAACGAGGACATGTGCCCTCACTGGGAATCGAATCATGACCTCCTGGTTCATAGGTCAACACTCTAAGCCACACCGGTGGGCTGGAAAATTATTTGGGGTATATAGGAGATTGGGCAGCCATGGGGCATACCCAGTCTGGTGGCGGTCGATGGTGTGCAAGGGGTCCAGGGGCAGGCCTTCCTTGGGCAATTTAAGGAAAGGCTAGCCTAGGGCCCCTGACCTGTATGGTTTACACATCAAACAAGGGTCTTAGTCAATCGGACAGATGTGGGTGGGCAGGGTGGGGCCTATGGGACAGAGGTCAGATTGAGATTGGGGTTTCCTGGAGCTCCTGGTTGAGAAGGGGATGTTGATGACATACCCAGCAATGTTTTATTTTTCCTTCTGCGGCTATTTGGGGGGTATTAACCAAACTACTGCTCTCCCAAGGCAGGAGAGCAAAACTGGCTGGTGGAAAACAGGACAGGAGGAGGAGGAGCCCTAAGAACTCCACGTATGTCTCAGCAGATAACTGCAGCATAGCAACCGATGGGATTCTCTCTTTCAGGTACAGCACAAGGAAGGGCTGAAGTCTTAGGGCTGGAGCCCGCTTGTGAGGCAAGAGTGGCTAATATCCTGGTTGGTATTCCTGCGGAACAGCGGCTTGAGGTCTGATACAGGTTCACTCGCAGGAGTAGCATGGGTTCTGGGTAGCCTCAGGTTCTGGGCCTGTTGCCTGTTTGACCCTGTTGCGATGGATCCAAGGCATTATTCCCTGCAACTTAAGGGCAGACTTGGTAGTTAGAATTACTAGTAAATAAGGTCCTTTCCATGTGTGCTCCAGCTGACCTTGGCCCGTTCTCCCCCCAGATGTTTATTTATTTATACGTTTTCTTTTCCCTTTTTGATATATTTTTATTGATTTCAGGGAGGAAGGGAGAGGAAGAGAGAAATAGAAACATCAATGATGAAAGAGAATCATTGACTGGCTGCCTCCTGCACGCCCCCTCCTGGGGACTGAGCCAACAACCCGGGCTTGTGCCCTTGAACTGAATCAAACCCGGAATCAAACCTGGGACCCTTCAGTCCACAGGCCGACGCTCTATCCACTGAGCCAAACCAGGTAGGGCCCTCCAGATTTTTAGCTAAACCCAAGGGAAAATATGAGGTCTAGCCCTGGCCGGAGGGCTCAGTGGTTAGAGAGCCGGGCTGTGCATCCAAGGTCGCAGGTTTGATTCCCCGTTAAGGGCACATACCTGGGTTGCAGGTTCCATCCTGGTAGGGTGTGTGCAGGAGGCAACCAATCTACATACATCAGATGTTTCTCTCTCTCCCCCTCCCTTCCTTCCACTCTCCCTAAAAATCAATGGAAAAAATACCCTCGGGTGAGGGTTAACAACAAAATGTGAGGCCGGGTCCCAGCGAGCTGGGAAGGAGGTAGCAGAGAAGGAAGTTACCTGACCATGGATCAGAACCGGGGAGGCCAGGCGGAACTGCAAGAGGGTAAGACGTGTGAAGCGACTGCGTTGGACAGACAGTAAGAAAACACACATTACAACAGAAACAAGATATACCTTAGATTTGGCATCTTACCCAGGAGCTGCCTGAAATTCCTGGGCTTATGGTTTCTCTCACCTTTTCCGGGGCCCCAAAGTGAGCTCCTTACTCCGGACGGAACCGAGATCTTAAGCCGGGCGCCCCCAACCTACTTGGTCCAGGGGGTCTTCTCGGTGCCCACTCCCTCCTTGACCCGGGCCCAAATTTTGTTTTTGGTATCACAGCCCTCTCCTCCCCCGCCTCCCCCGGCCCGCCGCACTTAGCAGCCGAGAATCAAACCACTTTGGGGACCGGACAGACTCCGAAGCTGTACTTGTACAATCCGCCATCTTTGTTCGGGGCACCGTGACTTCCGGTCGGGGAGGAAGAGACCCTAACCTGGTTTCCGGGAGATGCTGGAATACAGTTAGTTAGAGAAGAGGTTTGCGTTGGATTCTTCCAATCAGCATCCCATCTCGCCCTCTGGCGGTTTCGGGTGGCAGCCAGATTTAGTGGGACGCCAGTCATTCTCCAAGACGGGCACTGACCGTTTTCACCAAGGGACTGGGGTGGGTTCCAAATGGGGGAGGAGGGGACGGAGGGCACGGTACATCTGCTGTGCCTCGCGGCCTCCAGCGGAGTCCCCCTGTTCTGCAGAAGCAGCCGCGGCGGTGCTCCCGCCCGCCAGCAGGTGGGGCTCTGGACGTCTGGATCTCCGAAATTGAAGGGGGGTAGGAGCTTGGACTTGGGTCTTCCTGGGAGCAGGGGCTGGGGGAGTTGAGTTTAGAGGTCTGAGGGGTGCAACAGACTAAAAACTCCGTTTCCCTGACCAGGAGGTGCCAGGGGACCTAGAAAGGGGAGGGGATTGGGGGCCCCTGTCTAATGTCCTCAACCTTTCCACAGCTCCCGTTCTCTGTCATCGGCTCCCTCAATGGAGTCCACATGTTTGGGCAGAATCTCGAGGTGCAGCTGAGCTCTGCGAGGACCGAGGACACCACCGTGGTGTGGAAAAGCTTCCATGACAGGTCTCCAAGTCATAACTTGCAGCAGGGACTGGGCCCTGTTGAAGATGACCTCAAGGCCTGCGAGCCCCCCAAGGCCAGCTGTTACCCTCTCTGATCTCTGAGTTTCTCTGTATGAGAAGCAGGTTATGCTGGAGGAGGATGTAGCTAGCAGCCAGGATCTAGGGCAAACTACTGTCCTCGCTGCCCTGTTCCCTGGCCTGGACTCATTCTTCCTTCTCACCTTCCTTTCTCACAGCATCACCCTCATTGTTCTGTCATCTGAGGAGGGCGCCTCGGAGCTGAGACTAGAGAGGCTGCTCCAGATGGTGTTTGGGGCCATGGTGAGACTCCCCAGGCCGCTTTTGCAAACCAAGGAATCTGAACTCTCAGCATCCTTCTCCCTCAGACCCAGCAGGCCAGCCCCCAACACCTTTCTCCTCCAAAACCTAGGAATCCGGGCTCCTAGTCCCTCCTCCCTCCGACTCATGAGTCCAGATCCCCAGCCCCTGCTTTCTTCTAAGACGTCCAGGGCCCCTGCTCTCTTATATGGTTCTTCTAGGTTCTTCTTGTGGGACTTGAAGAACTGACCAACATCAGCAATGTAGAAAGACTGAAGAAGGAGTTGAGGGTGAGGCTACTGATATTTGGGGACTACAGTGCCCAGCAGCCCCTGGGGCAGCCTGCCCCGTGGATTCTTGGGGCAGCTCAGTTTTCTGACCCTGGAGTAGGCCCACCCAGAAGGGCCACTTTTTTGAGGAGGCAGCAAATCTAGGTGCCTCCCTTCTCCCTCTGCTAGGCCTGTTACCGCCTCATTGACAGCTTCCTGGGGGACTCGGAGCTCATTGGAGACCTGACCCAGTGTGTGGACTGTGTGGTTCCTCCAGAGGGATCCCTCTTTCAGGTATTGGGGAAGCCTTGGGAACTCTTAAACCTGACTTTATGCCCCGTGTCAGTCCTCATCCTCTCACCCCTGGACCATTGCCTCCACCTCTTCCCATCCTCAGGACTTCCAGTCCAACCCCCACTTGGCCCCAGAAGGATCTTTTTACACTCAGAGCTGACCCAGCCCCTCGGAGGCCCTTAGCACAGCCCTCTCATGGCTTCCATCCCCCCGCCCTCCCCCAGGACAAAGTCCCAGCCCTTGCCCAGTTGCCTCAGGGGTCCCAACAATTTCTCAGCTTCCCTGCCTTAGCTTATGCTGTTCCTTCTGTCTGAGGAATCTCTATTTACCCTTTTAAAAATACTGCTCTTATGGATTCACCAGGTATGGCCACCTCCAGGAGCCTTAAGGTGGTTGATTGTACCTACTTGGCACACAGTAGGACTCAATAAACCAAAACTGCTGCTGTAATTGTTAGCTTCAGTAGCTCATGCTGGCAGGGCAGTAGATGCCTTACCTGTTTAACTTCACGATGTGGCTTGGGGATTGTAACTGCATGTGGCGGTGAAGGAGTCCAGGCCCAGGGAGAGGGAGACACTTGAGCATGGCCACAAGGCAAACTTGGAATTGTATGCTGGTCTGTTCCCACTCCTCACCCATGTAGGAAGTCACTGTGCCCCTAATCTGTTCCCACTCCTCGCCCATGTAGGAAGTCACTGTGCCCCTAGTCTGTTCCCACTCCTCCCCCATGTAGGAAGTCACTGTGCCCCTAGTCTGTTCCCACTCCTCCCCCATGTAAGAAGTCACTGTGCCCCTATTTGTGTCTCCTTGCCCAGGAAGCCCTCTCTGGGTTCGCAGAGGCTGCGGGCACAGCCTTCGCCAGCCTCCTCGTGTCGGGCCGGGTGGTGACAGCGACAGAAAGCTGGTGGCGGCTGGGGACGCCGGAGGCCGTGCTACTCCCCTGGCTGGTGGGATCCCTGCCGCCGCAGGCCGCACGGGACTACCCGGTGTACCTGCCGCACGGGAGTCCCACGGTGAGTGGGTGGGCCCGGCAGAGGGAAGGTGGGGGCCTGGAACACCTGCGCCCGAGGGG